TTGAGGCTCCCCCCTGCCTCACTGTCACTCGCCTCCCTCTCCAAGTCACTTGCTTCACCATTGGCTATCTTTCCACTTTCCACCTGGCCTGTCTTTCCAGTATCTTTAAAAGCTAGTTTCAGTTTCCTCCAGCTGTCTTCTCCATCCTCCTCACTGCTTCCACTCTGCCTTTTGCCACCCTTCCACTGGGTCCTGTCCTTGCTATTCCTCTGCACTCGGGGCTCTTCATCTCCACTGTTATCCCCGCTGTCTGCTGCTGCTTTTTCCTCTTCCTTTCTGTCCCCCCGGTCTCCCAGCAGTTTCGCCTTGCTTTTCTGCTTACTGCTCCTCTCCTCCCAAGCTGACTTTTTCCCTCTTTTGCTCCGGGCTCTAGATTTTCTATCCTCCTCCTCTTCCTCTCTGTTCTCTTTCTTCTTGGCTAGGGTCTCCTCCTCCTTACTCTCATTTTCACTATCCTGGTATCTTGTAGCTCCTTTGTTTCCCATTCTCTGGGCAGAATCCTCCTCACTGCCCTCACTCTCCACTGCGGCCTGCTTCCTACTGGCTGAGGTCTTGCAAGGTACCTGCTTATTCTTTGTCACAGGTTTCCTCTTAGTTCTGCCTTTGAACTCCATTTCTACCTCCTTTTCCTTTTCTCCATCTTCCTCTTCCTCACTACTCTCTTCCTTGCAGACCTTACTTGTTTTAGCAGTGCCCCCCTCCTTACTGCTCTCCTTCACCACCTCCTTCTCTAATACAATCTTTGCAGCCAGGTCCCTCTGCTGTTCTTCCTCATGGCTGTTCTCAATTGCATTCTTTGAGGCTGGCTTTGGACTTTCTGCCACCGGACTGACTGCTGCTACCACCATCCCATTCTTTGCTCGGGGGCTGAAGCAGTCTGGACTGGAGGCTGCAGAGGTGGGCTCTGGAATGTGAAGAGAAGAGAAGGTTGAGACAGGTTCCTTCTGTCCCTTCTCCCTCCACTTCGGATAGATTGCCTTGAATCCTGCGCTGACGATGGGAAGCACAGCAGGAAACAGGGCCATCAGTCCACCCTGTTCCTGACTCACTGGCCTCACACCCTCATCCAGTGCCTTGGAACATCATAATACATGCACAATAAATACGTTTTGAATGAACCGACTACGCAGAAGGCACTAACCTGACTCCGAATTGAAACGGAACCTTTTTCTCTCTGGATCACTGCAGGGGGTTGGAGGCCTCTTTGCCTTTTTGGCAAGACCTAGACTTTCTTCCCTGGCACTGGCTTTATTCACCTGTGTGTGCGCACATCAAGAGAGCAAAATAGGTATTAAGGTGGCGTGCCCCACCCCCTCTCAGGCCCCTACTTTTCGACAACGAACCCCGCTTCCCGTGGCCTAGGCTCGCGCCCACACCTGCATCTTCAGCAGCTGCTCCTCCACGAGCCGCTTCAGCGCCTGCCTCTCCTCGGGTTCTAGGTGGTCGCGGCCTGCGTAAGCCAAGAAGTGCCGCCGCACGGTGGAGTGCGTGAGCGTGCTGCAGAGACATGTGTCAAGGCGGAGTCCCCATCCCACCCCTGCCCTTTCCAACCCCAACCTCCAGTGCACCTGAGGTCCGGGCAGCCTCGGAAGAAACTACGGGTGAACTCCCGCATCTCATCCTCCCGCGCCATTTTGCTCCACCTGGGATTGACGGCTCCCGCCTTTTTTTCTTCTCGGCCGCCGTCTGCGCTTTGACAGGAGCTTGCGCACGCGCGGTGTCGGAGGGACCGTTGGGTATCGGTGGCGGGCCGCTTCTACTGAGAACTTTGCCCAACAAAACCTGCTTTCCCCGGCAGTTAGAGGGTCTCGCGGTTCCTTCCTTTTCTTAGAACGAATTATTTTTAAAGTTCTCGTTAGAAACCGATTCCGCGCCCGCAACCTTTGGGTGTAACGTACTCAACCCGCGACGGTGCCCCCGCCGGTCACGGGCCAGCAAAGCCACTGTGGTTTCGAAAGACAGAAGAAGAAGGACATCTTTGTCTGAAGACTAGGAATCCCTAGGGGAAAGTCTTCTGTCTTCCAATTGCTGAACACGTTTAGAAAGGGAGCCCTCCACTATCCGCCATCTTTGTGACGTCATCGCGTCCCTGCGACGCCATCTTCAGCGTAACCTCTCGAAGCAACGTTCCTTTCCCGGTATTCCCGGAGAGGACCGATCCCTGGTTGCGATCCCTGGGGCGCGAAGTACGCCGGGAGTTGTAGTCCCAGCGGACAGCCTCACCCAGTCTCCGGAAGTGGAGGCGTGAGAGGCCGGGCTGGGCTGGCTTGGGGTATCTGGAAAGCCCGACTAGTGTGGGGCGCTCCTCCCGGGGCCAGTCATGAACGGGCCGGCGGACAGTGAAGTGGACTACAAGAAGAAATACCGGAACCTGAAGCGGAAACTAAAGTTCCTCATCTACGTGAGTGTTGGGGTAGGGAGGTTGTCGGGGATGAGGTCTGGCGCTGGTAGGACCTCAGTTTACCCACGGGTAAAAGGAGTTGGGGCGAGCTGTCGCCGGGTTCCGGGCTCCTTTACGAACCGCCATTGGTTCAGCGCGCACCTTGACTGTGGTACAGGAGCACGAGTGCTTCCAGGAGGAACTAAGGAAGGCACAGAGGAAATTGCTGAAGGTGTCCCGAGACAAAAGGTGAGACGTGATGCTCCGGGAGAGAAGGGAGGCCTGCGGGTGATGTGGCTCCTGTGGATACATTCGGACCCCGTCCTGTAATGGGGTCACAAATGCATGTGTTTGTTTGGGGGCTGTTGCGAGGATCCAGCAGGCCAGCTAGAAGGGACAAGGGCCCAGGAGAACATTGATGAGGTGGAGATAAACGCTCTTATTCCCGCTTTTTGTCTCAGTTTCCTCCTAGACCGACTTCTGCAGTACGAAAATGTGGATGAAGACTCTTCTGGTGAGCAAGGTCATGAAAAATTGGTGGAGGACATGGTTCCTGGCACTTAAGCAAGCTTCCTGGGCCCCTCCTTTTAGACTGTGGAGGCTAATACAGCTTCCAGTGATTCTCAAGCCTAGTTGCTTACCCTCCACCTCTACTGTTTATTCACTCAAGTATTTATTGAACATACACTGTGTTTCAGGCACTTTATTTTACACAGTGGATACAGTGGTAACCAAGGTAGACAAAGTCTTTTGTATTCTGGGGGAGGGGTAATAAGTAAGCAAGATGTTAGACTTTCAGATTTAAAAGGAATAAAATCAGGGTTATATGATAGTGATTGGAATAGAGCAGAGGTTGACAAACTTTTTCTGTAAGGAAGCAGATAACAAATATATTAGGTTTTGAAGAACATGCAGTCTGTCACAACTACACAGTTCTGTTGTAATTCAGAAGCAGCCACAGGTAATATGTAAATAAATGAATATGGCTGTGTCTCAATAAAACTTTATTTTGGACACTGAAATTTGAATTTCATGTAATTTCCACATGTCATGAAATATTTTTCTTTTCATTTTTTTCTTCAACCGTTTAAAAATATAAAAGCCATTCTTAGTTTGCAGACCATACAAAAGTAGATGGCAGGCCATGTCTCAATAGAATGCCCAAGAAAGACCATTTTCAGGGATAGTATTTGAGCTGGGACCTAGATGAGAAGAGCTGAAGATAACGAGTGAGAGATTTCCAGGCCAAGGGAATGACAAATGCAGGTACTCCAAGGCAAGAACAGACTAGGTTGTCTGAAGAGCAGAAAGGCTTTATAAAGCAATGCTTTCACACTTTTTTTGAGCACTATTTACAATCAATATGTTTTACATTGTGACCAATTCCCCATTTCCATACTTTAAAACAAAATTTAACAAAACATTAAGACCATTATAAACAATTTTTTCTTATACTTTTTAGGCTGCTTTTTTCTGGTTGCAAACCAATGCATTGACTTCATGACCTAGTGTGTTTGAGACCCACAGTTTGAAAAAGCCCTAAGATTGGCATTTGTGCCCCTGTTCCAAGGTGGGGGCCCTCATAAGCCATGTTACATACACTCACCACTCTCTGTGGCACCTTTAAACATTGATCTAAAGCAGAGTCAGCTAGCCAGGCTGCTTGTTTTTGTAAATAATGTTTTATTGGAATGCACAACACTCATTCATTTATGTATTATAGGAGGACAAGTAGATGATAGATGAGGTCAGAGAAATAGATAGGAGCCAGCTCGTGTAGGTCATGGCAAAATGTTTGGCTTTTATTCTGGCTTATCATTGCCTGCCTCTTCCTTCCGTGAGGTCTCCAGTTAACTTCTGGAGGACTCAGGATCCCACTCTGACCATGAATATGTTGGTTCTCTCATGCCTCCTATAGGTCCCAGCTCAAACACTATCCCTGAAAATGGCCTTTCTTGAGCATTCTATTGAGACATGGCCTATAGAGGCATGAGAGAACCGACATATTCATGGTCAGAGTGGGATAAATCTGAGGAGCAAGAGCCAGCAATGTAAGCTACCGCTTATATCCTGGAGAAGCCCACAGTCTGGTCACGGAGACACCCACATATGATAACCGCTTAGCACGGTATAAGGGGAGCCATGACAAGTGAGAGAAAGTATGGAAGAGCCAGCAATTAACTGGGCCTGAGGGATTCTGGAAGAATTCTCAGGTGGCATTTAATTTGCTTCTTTTTTCTTTTTCAATTATAGTTGATGTACAATATTTTATTAGTTTCCGGTATACAACATAGTGATTAGACGTTTATGTTCATTCGCTTCTTAAAGAATCTGAGCTGAAAAACAGAAAGGCACATATCACATGTTGCAGTTATTTGCTAAATGAGTGATGGGCTTTCTACGTGGAGGCAGATCTGAGAAATAGATTTCGTTTCTGAGGAAATTGATTGGCATGATGTGATCAGTACAGTTTGGAAGACCACCAAGGTTGAGGCCACACTGAGAAGCATTTTGAATGCTCACAGGCCGTGGGGGACGTCATCAGGAAGGTTATGATCAGGTTTATGTTTTAGGTCATTCTGGAGTTACAGGAGAGGTGAGACTGCTTAGTTGATTTTGACATAGTGGTGGCTTGACCTTGTGGCATTTGCAATGGGGGGTAGTGGATAAAGGTAGGAGAGATTTGAGGGGTAGATTAACAGGACCCTGGATATTGGGAGTGGAGCAGAGGCAGGAGCCGAAGGCAGCTTAGAGCTGAAGAAGGAGAGAGTGGTGTGAAATGGTCAAGGAGTCAGAGATCTGAGTTCAAGTCCAGCCCCACACCTTACTCTCAACCTCAGTGACGTCATCTGGAAAGTGGAGGTGAGGCCCTTACCTTCCTCCCTGTATGGTTATGAAGACAAGGAAAGGCAGTGAATGTAAAGTGTCTAGTCAGAACCTGGCAAGTAATAAGTGCTTGGCAAATTTCTTACCATGGAGGAGCGTGGGTAGGAAGTTGATTGTAAAGGACATTCTAAGAAACTGGGGAATTTGTGGGTTCCCCAGAATAACATGTGCATGCCAGATAGGGAGTCAGATTCCCTGGAGCCCTTTCAGAGTTAAGAGTATATCCCTGAGGTAGACAAGAACACCTCACCCCACCCTTCACTGACCAACCTTCCCCCACAGACTCAGATGCCACTGCATCTTCAGATAACAGCGAGACAGAGGGTACACCCAAGTTATCGGACACGCCATCCTCCAAGAGGTGAGAAGAAGCCATCATTCTTCTCTGGGGATGAGGGATAAGGGGGCATCTGGGCCTTCTAGCTGCCTCTGACCTCCTCCCCTGTCCTTTTCTCCAGGAAGAGAAGCCCTCCGCTTGGGGGCACCCCCTCCCCTTCCAGCCTCTCCCTGCCTCCTTCAACAGGGTTTCCCCTTCAGGCCTCCGGGGCCCCCTCCCCATACCTGAGTTCGGTGAGTTGGGGTAAAGGGTGGGAAGTGGTAACAAAGATGCCTGGGAATAAGGTGGGCATCATTTGGGCAGAGGGGCCAGGCCTCAGAGTGAAGCCGGCCCGGCACTGGGGACATCATTCTGGGTGTGGCCAGCCACCATCCCTTGGAGGGGTGTGAGTTGGGGCTACCCAGTTCCTCTGCTGTAGGAATGGGGGATGGATGTGACTGAGGAGAGCAGACTCCAGGACAAAGTCCTGCTGCTGTCCCATCCCCTTCTGTTCTCAGAAGCCACACTCATCACCATCTCTTGTTTTTCCATTCTTCCTCCTATTTGCACTTCTTCCCTTCACCTCCCACCCAATCATTTCATTTCCCATCTCCATCCCGCCACTCCTGCCTGCAGCTGGCTTCCCCCCCCTACCCCCCATTCCCTTCTGACTACCTGGCCCTGCAGCTGCCCGAGCCCAGCCCCCTGAGGCCCAAGCGGGAGAAACGGCCCCGCCTGCCCCGGAAACTCAAGGTACCCTGATTTGGGGACATTAGGGAGGGGCCAAAATGGCAGAAGGACAGCCATTTGAGGGAGGTTCAAGACAGGGGCTGGGGGCTCAGCCCAGGTCTAGGTACTGAGGGTTGGGTCAGAGAAGTCTTGGCTCACAGGTTTTATGTGGAGATAAATCAGGGACAGGACCAGCCTTGGGGGACTCATAGTGAAGACACCTATGAGCCTGCCCTTACACTGCTGCAGTGTGGCTGTCAGGCCAGGATCATTTTCACAGATGTTCTGTGATGCCAGGCACTTCCAGATGAGGGGTGGATCTGTGGAATCTAAAATCAAGTCAAGGCTGTACCAGCTGAAACCACAGGACCTCAAACAGGGCTCTTTGACCCTCTGGGTCTCAGATTTTGTATCTGTAAAGTAAGCGATCAAACTACATGTAATCAGCAAGTGTTTATAGAATGTTTGCTATGTACCAGGCACTGTCCTAGGTGCTGCAACTGCAGTAGTGAACAGAACAAATCTCTGCCTTTGTGGAGCTCATGTTCTAGCAAGATAGGCAGAAGGTAAACAAGATAAATAGTACCAGTGCAGAAAAATAGAGTCAGGTAAAGAGGATGAGAAGCACCAGAGTGGATGGGGGCCGATTCTTTTGGTTGGGTGGTCTGGGATGTTATTTGGTCAGAGACTTAAAGGAAATGGGAACAAGCCATGTGGCTCTCTGGGGAAGTGTTTTAGTCAGGAAGGACAGCCAGTGCAAAGGCCCAGGTTGGAGGAAGGGGAAGTTGGCTTGTTCGAGAGGAGGAGGCCAGTGTGACAGGAGGAAAATGAGAGGGAGAGAATGATCAGAGAGGCGGTCAGAGAAGTAACTGAGGGACAGGAATGCATAGGACCTTATAAGCGTGGTAAAGACTTTGGCTTGTACTATGAATGAATGGAGGAGTTGTTGGAGAGATTAGGAAATCCAGTCTGATTTACATTTTAACAAAATTGCTGTTGGGTCAGGATGAAAGTAGGGGGACCAGAGAGAAGTCTACTGCAGTAAACCAAGTAGCAGTTGAGGATGAAAAGTGAAGAACGAGCCACAGGAAGACCAGTGTGGGCTGCGAGGAAGAAGAGAAGTCAAGGATGACTCCAGGGTTGTTGGCCTGAGCAACTGAAGTGAGGACTGGGAGGAGCAGGTTTTGGGGATAAGGTGAGGACTTTGCTTTTGGGATGTTGAGATGCTGTCTGGAAATGCCAATGAGACAACTGGATAACGGGAGCCTGGGGCTCATGGAGTGTGTCCTTCGATGTTGAGAGATGAGGACACAGAAGGCACAATGCCCTTCTGGCTCTGAATCACAATGGAATAGGGATTGAACTGGACAGCTCTCAAGTTGAGTGGACTATAGACTTAAGGCTTGAGGCAGAAGTGAAATGGGAGGCCATGTTTATGCTGGTTAGGAGTGTGGGTTCTAGAGTTCATATCCCGGCTCTGCCACTACTCCCCGTGTGACCTTGGCCCTTAAGCCTGAAAAATGGGTAGGTAATGGGTGATATACTGACCCTTCGCTCTGCTTAGCAGGGTTTTTGCTTCTGGCTTGTAGAGTAGGATGGTGGAGATGGCAAGCATCAGTGTAGCCTGGAGCAGATGGGCAGAGGTGTGGTGTGGCATGGTCATGGCAGTTAGAGGCTTTCTGAGGTGTGGTCCTAAAGTAGAGGAGTATCAGGAAGCTAAGTTCTGGACATACAGGAGAGAAAATGTTGGTTGGGGGAGAGGCCGAAATCAACTGCTGTGTTTGGAGAAGGGGCTAAACCAGGGAAGGACTCAAAGAAGATGTAACATTTGAGCCCAGGATAAGTGAGATTTGGATATTCCAGGCTGAGGCAAAAGTGTTATTTGGGCTGCAGCAGGAGTGTGTTACGGCAGAACGGTCTATGGCCATACCACCCTGAACGTGCCTGATCCCGTCAGATCTTGGAAGCTTGGATTAGTACTTGGAGGGAGACCACCTAGGAAGACCAGGTGCTGTAGGTGTTAAAAAAGAGAGAGAGAGAGAGACGACATTGGAAAGAAAGACATTGGGATCATAGAAGGCCTTGACACTCAGAGTCAGGAGGAGCTGTAAAGGGAGTAGGGGGTCATTGAAGTTTCTGGGTGACTTTGGTGTGAGGAGACAGGAGGTAGCAAGTCTGAGGCGAGGAGGGAAAGCTGTGAGACTGCAGCAGCTCAGTGAAGAGCCTGGGCCTAAGTAGACTTAGCTGGGTTTGAATCCCAACTCTTCTGTGTGACCTTGGGCTTGTCATTGAACTCTGAGCCTCAGCTTTCTTCTTTGTTCATGGGATCACTGTGAGAATAAAATTGAATTGAAGGAGAGAAAACACTTAGCCCAGTGCCTGGTTCCTAGTAAGCCATAGATAAACATTAGCTGCTTTTGGTCACCTGAGGGGGTCATTGAGTACATCCATGCAGGTTTAGGACATGAGGGCTAGGGTGGGGATCAGGAGGTGGTCGCCAGAGGATGGGGACAGTCTTATCCCACTGTCCTTTTCAGTTATGCATGTGTGTCTGCTCCTATGTATACACATGGGTGCCTGGTACTGGGTGCAAAGGTGCTGTTCAGAGCTGGGCATCCTGTCTGTCATCAGTTCTAGCAGAATGCTATACTCAGAGGTGCTGACCCTGAGGAACAGCAGTGAGGGTGGGGGCTCCTTGAGAAGCAGCAAGTAGCCCATAAGGGCCAAATGAGTGAAAGCAATCAGAAGGGCCACTCTGAAGACCACACACAGGCGTTTCATGCCAGCCCCACCGAGGGCCAGATTGGACACTGCCTTGTGGGGACCTAGCAGGCTCAGTTTTCTCCTCTGACCCAGGATCTCCTCCCAGAGTGGTCAGAGCAGAGATCATTAATGAAAATTACCATTAGTAAGTGCTCAGTTTGTGCCCACAGGCAAAGCGTGAGGCCCACAGCGTGAGCTCTCTCTAGGGAAGTTTGTAAGGATGTGGCAGGGATGGGGCTGGAGGTTTGGGCAGGACAGAGGCCACTTCCCAGCCTCAGAGGACAAAGCAGGGCTTTTGACAAATAGAAAAGGATATTTCAGGTGGAGGGACTCGCCTGTTCTCAGGCACGCATCTCAGGACTGCCTGCCCCCAAAGCAGCAAGGAGCCTGAGGCCCTCAAGTGGAGGAATGACACGCTTAGGTTTGTGTTTTAGAGAGCTCACTCTGGCTGCAGTGTGGAGGAGGAGCTGGATCTGGGAGAGGCTGAAGGCAGGGAGTCCAGTTAGGAGGCTGGTACCGTAGTCCAGGTGAGCTGAGAGGAGGGCCTGGCCTTGGCCAGTGGCTGTGGGGATCCCAAGGAGGGGCCCATCCCAGATATAAGAAGCCTCACATGGCGGGGGGTGAAGACCTAGGACACCCTCCACTGAACCAGTGAGTCCCACAGTAGGAGGGAGAGGAGGCCAGTAGTGGCAAGTGGTATCTGAGACGCCCAGAGGCGAGCAGGCAGGCAGGCAGGCACTCCAGGCTGACTGGCCCTAACTGCCATCACAGGATCTGCCAAAGTGCCTCCCTGGTGAGAGCAGGGCCCAGCCTTTCCCTCCTGGTTTCCTATAAGCGCCCCCCACCTACCCACCCACACCACCCTCATCATCGCCTCCATCACTGCCCCTCACCCCCAGGCACTTACTGGTTTGAGACTCAAGAGACCGAGGTGGGGCCAGCCACCTGAATCCAGCGTGGCTGGCCCAGCTGCGTCCACTACCCCTTGAATGAGCCTTTGCCCCTTCCCCATCCCCAAGAACTGCCTCGAGGGGTAGTGCCACCCTCCTGGAGGTCTCAGTCCTTCCTGACAAGCCCTCCCTGTGTTTCTTTCCTTCCTCCTCCACCCCCACTACAGATGTCGGTGGGACCCCCCGACTGCCCTGTGGGAGGGCCGCTGACCTTTCCTGGCCGGGGTTCTGGGGCTGGGGTGGGGGCAGCCCTGGCCCCACTGCCCCCCCCCAAGATGCCCCCACCCACGATCCTGAGCGCAGTTCCTCGGCAGATGTTCAGCGATGCAGGCAGCGGGGATGATGCCCTGGATGGGGATGATGACCTGGTGATCGACATCCCAGAGTGACCCTTCTGCCCAAGCCCCTGCCCAGCGCCCTGTGTCAGCACACATGAGCTCCCAGCTTCCGCAGAGACTTTTATTAATGCCCAGTTGCCATGCTGCGGCCACTGACACAATCAGAAGAGGCGTAAACATGCACAGATGTCCCCTGGAAAGTGGGCCCCTCACCAAGGAGGGCAGGGGCCTGCCCTCACATCTCGGCCCCATCCAGGGGACAGTTATTTAAATGAGTGGTGGGAGCATCTGTCACCTCTCAGAGAGGCAGAGACCCTGCTGTGCCCACCTCCCCCCCCACTGTTTAAAAGGGCAGCTGTACAGGGCTAGGTGTTTCTGTTTTTAAACGAAGATTCTGTATTAAAGGAGTGGCTCTTTTTTGTTTTTTTATCCTTTTCCTGTTTGGAAACTTTCTCCTCCTCCGAACTCCCCCTAATCCGACCTCCTCCCTGTAGGTGGAGGGGACGGGGCAGCCTGGAGAGGCAGGAGAGAGGAGCAGCAGCTGGGGAGCCTTGGGGGAGGGGGCGCTGGTAGGACTCCCCCTGCAGGTGTGCACAGGATGGGTGGTTTGCATATTTGCATGTAGCAAGTCAGGCAAGAGGAAGTTTGCATATGTGAACATAGATCTCCACAGTCCCTCACAAGACGGACCCACAGTCACAGAAACTCTCACGAAATAAGACAGGTAGTGCAGGGCGGGGCGGGGCATCCACCCCGTGTAAACGTGCAACACACTCGTGCGAATGTTGGGTACTGGACCCGGTCCCGGGGGGCCTGTGATGAGCCGCTGCTGTCCCTACTCAGGCTGAAGGCAGAGCCCCGGCTGCAGGGGGCAGCTCACTGGTCAGGGTGTGCCAGCGCTCCAGGGCTGTGTCTGGCTGCTGCAGACAGTCACCCCAGTGCTTCCGGGCCTCTCCCCGGGCACCTGGCCCCAGGGAAACGCCACCTGGGGAGCAGTAGAGGCAAAATCAGGGCCCAGCTCACTGCCAGTGTACCCTCCATCGGTGCCACCCAGCGGGCTTCTCCCTCACCAATGAAGTCGTTGGATTTGCCAATGTCGTAGTCCCAGACTGTGACTTCCAGAGTCTTGGTGGCCAGAGCGGAGAGCTCCATCTCATAGAAGAACTCCTGGGACAGGGCAAGCCTCACCTTCCATGAGGCGCTGCCCCCCAGCCCCCAATCCCCACTCTCCCTCGATTTATGATTCTTGCCATGTTTACCTCATTAAATTCCGGGTTGAGGGTCTTCTTCTTTACACCTGTTTTATGCTTGGATTTCTTATCTACGTCAGGCCTCAGGTACCTGCCAAGGAGGCGGGGTGGGGGTGGGGGAGTGTGGTGGGCAGGGACAAGCCGGCTGGAGGAGGATGGGGCAGGGTCCCTGGGAGGGGGGCATCAGGGCAGGGCGAGAGCTCACGTCTTGACATAGGGGTCAGAGTAGCCATTGACGTCCATGGCAGCTAGGTGGGCACAGCGCACGATGCCCACCAGCAGCCCCCGGCGCAGCGAGCTATAGCTGAGGTTCCGCAGGATGCGCCCACGCTCCTCCAGCAGCCCAGGCCCCTGCTCTGCCTGCTCCAGCTTCAGGGCAGACACAAAGGTCAGCATGTATCCTCACCACTTCCCACCCAGACTGGTCCCTTGAGCTGCCTCACCTCCTTCAGGTAACAGGAGATGCCCCTCAGTGCTGCCGACATGGAAGAGGGTGAAGCCAGCTGGGGGAGGGGCAAAGAGAAAGTTCTGGAAACCTGGCCTCCCCAGGGCCCTCTCCCCTCGGTCCCCTTCTGCCCCACACGGACCGGGACCTGGCGCTCGAGGCAGATATTAAAATGCTTCTTCTGGGAAGGCTTGAGGCGACGGAGAGGTATGCGGATCTCCCCGATGAACTCGTTGTGGCTCAGCTTGTCCTCATCACACACGGAGATCCTGGCAGGGAACTGCAAGGTCAGGGCCCCTGGGATCCCTGAGCTCCACCCCAGTGTGGGAGCAAGGACCTCCGATGGAACCCTGAGCACCTGAGGCTGGTCCCAGCTCTGCCCTAAATACACCTCACTTGTAAAATGGTCTGTCTCACAGGCTATGTGGTGAACACCAGGTTTGATGCCTGAGAAGGACACTTTGATTTGCCCTGTTCCTCGGCCCCTCTGCAGCTGCCCTGGTTGTCCCTGGTCCATCAGGACCTGCTCAGCTACTTTAGGAAGCCCTCACAAATCTTGGGGACCCTCTCTATCCGTGCCTCTTCTGCATGAAGCAGGGAGCCAGCCTGGGAGAGACTTGTGAGCCCAGAGATTAAGAAATGATTGCTTTTACATGTAATCATCCCCTTTTGCAGCCCCCTGCACTTCCTACTGCTGCGACACTCTTGAGTAGCTGTGTCATGTAAGAGTGTTCAATTTCTAGTTCTGCCACTTACTAGCAACTGTGTGACCTTGGGCAAGTAAACCTCCCTTAAGTCTCAATTCCAATCTATAAAATGGAGATAATGATTACCTATTATGAAGATCAAGTGACATGAAGAAATGTAAAAATGCATAGCCCAGGGCTGGGCACCAATGACCACTCAGTGAGTGAAGCTTCATTCTCTAGCATCTGAAATATGGGGCCAGCCTTTCTGGTTTCTGCCTCTGTCCTCCCCTCCAGCCCACCCTACACCCAACACCAAGGTGATCTCTCTAAAACAGCCCTGACCATGCCCCTGCCCTGATGCAAAGCCTTGAACAAAGGAGAAGTTCTCTCAGGGGCCTAGTTTTGCTGCTGTTCACTTCCCACCAGGGACTACTCTCCCCACAGCTCTACCTCCTGGGATGACGGAGCAAATTTCCTGCCCCTTAAGACTTCACTCTTTAGAGATGTTAGGAGGACATAGGCAACAGAATGGGCAGACTTCTACATAGATCTGACTTAAGTCAGGGGCTCTGAGAAGGGGTATCAGTGACCAGGGAAAGCTTTTAGGAGGAAGCAGAGCCTCAAGTGATAAGTGGAGTTCAGGGTGGCAGAAGGAAAGCTGGGAGAGCTTTCCAGGTAGAAGAGACAATGGGCAAAGATCAGGAGTAATGAGCCTGACCAGCTGGAAGGCGGCAGACCTCTGCTGGAGGAACTGTAGGAGATATTTTGGGAGTAGGAATGACAGGGAAGTATTTTGGCCTGCTGCCCAAGGGGATAGGGAGCTACTGATTGTTCTTGAACACCTGAGAGGGGCTTAAAGGGAGGTAGACCAACCAAAGGAAGTTCTAATGACAGCTGTCCCAGAGGAGGCGCTGAGCTGGAATCCTTGGTTGCAGGGAGCATGGGTCCCTCACCTGAGCACCTTGTGAGTGATGTCGTCATCCGTGATTCCACTGTACATCAGGTCCTCGTTCCACACAGGATTCAGCGTGTTTCTCTGAGTCTTAGTTTTTAGCTTATTGGCCTGAGGTATTGGGACAAAAGTGTTCTCAATATACGCCCCATAGACCCACAGAGGCTGAAAGCAAGAGAAGATTGGAGACAGACCCACAAGTTGGATCAAGCTGGGGGAAAGAGGAAGCTGTTCACCTTGCAGGCTCCAGGCAGCAGGTGCAGCTTGACATAGGGGTCAGCCAGGCCATTGAAATCCATGGGCTTGAGGCCCTGGAGAGGGGGGTAGGGAAGAGGGCTATGAGTTCCCAGCTCTTCCTCCTTCCCCCTGCAGAGTGGATCCTTGGAATGTGGAGAGCAGCAAAAAAAGGGTATTGGGAATGGGGGTGGAGAGAGGAGGGGAAAGGGAAGGGAGGATGTAAACCCACCCCTCCCAGGTGGGAGGCAAACAGGACTGGCGCTCCGGAGGTAAGGAGTGCTCACCTTGGCCCTGAGGATACTACAGTGCAGAGTGCAGGAGGCCTGGTCATAGAGAAGGTCAAACTCCAGTGTGCCCAGAGTGGCTGGAGAAAAGGGAAGAGGTGATGTGTCAGTGTGTAAAGACAGGTGTGTGTGAGAGATGGGTGGGCAGGCCAGCAGTGTGTGCAGACTGTGAAGGTATGAGAGTGTATCTGAGTCTGACAGCCTGTGAGTGTATGTGCGTCTGGGTCCCTCGCTGGGCTGCAACTGGGACTGTGTGGGTGGTTGAGTGTCTCAGCAGAAATATTGAATTTTGAGCTTTGTTGAAGCTATAATCTCCACACTGACTGCAGCTGTGGTGGCAGTGCCTGCTGCCTTCCCCGTGACATGCACACCCAGCAGGCCCCTCCCCTTCCCACAAGCCTGGAGGTCCCCATTAGCACCCTGGGCCCTTCAAGCCCCCACACTCACTGGCATCATCCGAGTCATAGCTGTCCACCTCAGCTCCATCCTCGGGCGTGGTGGCCCCAAGGAGGGCTACAGGGGGGGCCAGGGCCAGGGGGGCCAGATGAGTAGCAGCCTCCCCAAAGCCCCTGCCGCTGCCCCCTTCAGGTCCAGGTCCCCGGCGGGGGAAGTAGTCAGAGATCTGGCGGATAGGCCGGATGGGCCCAGGGCACACGTTGATGGCCATGTGCTCCTGGATGTTGATGGTCATGCGATCACCCCTGCGGCCCCTCATGCAGCACCCTTGGCTGGGGGAGGGAGGTTCGAAAGAGTG